GCACGGAAGCATTTGTGTATCATTTCATCGCATTGACTGCATCATTATATGCTTGCATGCTGTACGCGCTCGTTTTGTACTCAAGCGTTTCGTTATGTTGTATCGGTGCTGGAGTGATGCATATGTGCCAAATGCACTGCTTGGATGGTGGTTGTCGTTGTCGGCTTGGAAAGCGTTGCTTCCAAAACGTACATGTCAACCCCACTTGCAGCACGGAAGCATTCGTGTATCATTTCATCGCATTGATTGCATCATTATATGCTTGCATGATGTACGCGCTCGTTTTGTACTCAAGCATTTTGTTATGCTGTATCAGTGCTGGAGTGATGCATACATGCCAAGTGCACTGCACAGATGGCGGTTGTCGTTGTCGGTTTGGAAAGTGTTGCTTCCAAAACGTACATGTCAACCCTACTTGCAGCATGGAAGCATTTATGCATTGCTTTAATGCATTTACAGCATTATTGTATGTGTGTATGCAGTTTATGGGTGCTTTGAAGGGTTGATGCACACCTCTTTGATTCTACCGCCGTATTTATCGACGATGGAACCATAGAAATTGTGCACAACCCACCCGAGAAACCATATACTATTGCACATCGTCCTCATGTCCCATGCCTTCATATCCGCATGCACTAAGATTGTATGCCCTCAGATCTCGTGCCTCATAACTTGCGCCCTCATATCTCATGCCCCTATCTTCCGTGCCCTCATACTCATACCCCCTCTCATATCCCGTGCCCTCAAAACCCGTGTTCTTATATCTCGTGCCTTTACATACCGTGCCCTCACATCTAGCGCAATCGTATCATGTGCCGTCATAATATCCAATACCCAGTATCCCGTGCCCCCATATCATGTGCCCTCATGTCTTGTGCCCTCCGTTCGCTCGCGTTTCGTGCCCTCGTATTTCGTGCTCTCATACTGCGTGTACTTATTGCATTCCGTACCTTTATGGCCTCTTTTCCTCGTATCACATGCCCTCTTGTGTTCGCTCGCGTTCTGTGCCCTCACCTAAGATTTGGTGTTGCCAGTATTTAGTGCCCTGATATCACATGCCCCCGTATCCAGTGCCACGTAGCCCGTATCCCTCGTATCCCTTGCGCACACATTCCGTGCCCCCATATCTTGTAACCCTGTAATTCGCGCCCCCAACCTACAAGTCACCATATTCCGTACCCTCGTTTTCCGTGACCTTATTGCGATCTGTGCCCTGATGACCCTTTTCCCTCATATCCCATGCCCTCATATCTCACGCCCTCATATTCGGTGCTGCCCATATTCCGTGCCTTCACATTCCGTGACATCGTATCACGTGCCTTCGTATCCCGTGCACTCACATTTTGTACCCCCATATCTTGTGCCCTTGTAATCCGTGCCCCCAACCTACATGCCACCGTATTACGTGCCCTTGTTTTCCGTGCCCTTATTGCGATCCGCGCCCTGATGACCCTTTTCCCTCGTATCCCATGCCCTCATATCTCGTGCCCTCGTATTCGGTGCTGCCCATATTCCCTGCCCTCATATCGTGTGACCTCATATCCCGTGGTCTCATATCATGTGCACTCACATTCCGTGCCCCATATCTTGTGCCTTTGTAATCCATGTCGCCAATCTACATGCCACCGTATTCCGTGCCCTTATTGCGTTCCGTGCCATCATGACCCCTTTCCCTTGTATCCTATGCCCTCATATCCTGTGACTTCGTACCTTGTGCCCTTATATCTCTTGCACTCACATGTTGTGCCCCCATATCTAGTGCCCTTGTAATCCGTGGCCCCAACCTACATGCCACCGTATTCCGTGCCCTCGTTTTCCGTGCCCTTATCACGTTCCGTGCCCTCATCACCCATTTCCTTCCTATCCCATGCCCTCAAATCCCATGCCCTCATATTCGGTGCTGCCCATATTCCGTGCCCTCATATCCCGTGACCTGATATCTCGTGCCCTCATATCCAGTGCAATAACAATCCGTGCCCCCAAATTGTGCCCTTGTAATCCATGGCCCCCAGGTATGTAGCACCGTATTCCGTGCCCCCGTTTTCTGTGCCCTTATTGCGTTCCGTGCACCCCTTTCCCTCATTTCCCATGCCCTAATATCTTGTGCCCTCATATTTGATGCAGCCATATTCCGTGACCTCATATCTTGTGGCCTCGTATCTCGTGCCCTCGTAACCCGTGCACTCACATTCCATGCCCCCATATTGTGCCCTTGTAGTTTCTGCATCCAATGTACGTGGCACCGTATTCCGTGCCTTTTTTTCCGTTCCCTTACTGCGTTCTGTGCCCTCATGACCATTTTCCCTCATATCCCATGCCCTAATATCTCGTGCCCTCATATTTGGTGCTGCCCATATTCCGTGACCTCGTATCCCGTGACCTCGTATCTCGTGCCCTCATATCCAGTGACCGCACATTCCGTGCCCCCATCTTGTGCCCTTGTAATCCGTACCTCCAAGGTATGTGGCACTCTATTCCGTGCCTCTTTTTCCGTGACCTTACTGCGTTCCGTGCCCTCATGACCCTTTTCCCTCATATCCCATGCCCTAATATCTCCTGCCCCCATATTTGGTGCTGCCCATATTCCATGACCTCAGATCCCGTGACCCCGTATCTCCTGCCCTCGTTCACTCACATTCCGTGCCCCCAAATTGTGCCCTTGTAATCTGTGACCCCAAGGTGTGTGCCCACCGTATTCCGTGCCCTCATTTTCCGTGCCCTCATTGCGATTCGTGCCCTCATGACCCCTTTCCCAAATATCCCGTGCCCTCATATCATGTGACCTCGTATCTTATGCCCTTGTATCCCGTGCACTCACATTCCGTGCCCCCATATTGTGCCCTTGTGCTCTGTGACCCTAAGGTGTGTGCCCACCGTATTCCGTGCCCTCATTTTCCGTGCCCTTATTGCGATCCGTGCCCTCATGACACTTTTCCCTCATATCCCGTTCCCTAACTCGTGCCCTCGTATTCGGTGCTGCCCATAGTATTGTGGCCTCATATCCTGTGACCTCGTATCTCGCTCGTGCCCCTGTATCCCGTGCACTCACATTCTGTGGCCCCATATCTTGTGCCCTTTAAATCCATGTGCCCCCAAGCTATGTGCCACCGTACTCCATGCCCTCGTTTTCCGTGCCCTTATTGCGTGCGTTCGGTGCCCTCATGACCCGTACCTCCACACCCCGTACCTTCGAATCCCATGTTGTCGCCCACCGTGCCCTCGTATCAAGTCCGCTCCTATCACAAGCTTGTTGACCGTGTTGTTTCGTATTGTATTCTGTCATGTTGTTTTCGTGTAGAATTGTTTAACCGCCTAAAATAAGGACGAAAGATGCATGACACGAAAGAAAAACATTTAAGTTAGATTTAAAAAAAAGGAATAGATAAAACACATGTCGAAAAACGTTTTAGAAAACATGCAGAAATCCAATGCAATACACTATTGGAAAAATATATTTTACGGTAGATAACATGCAAAGTAACAAGCAACTATAGTTTTATTAATCTGGTTTTATTGAAAAACAAACAAACAAACAAACAACAACAAGAAATAAAAAAAGAACGGCGCACGGAAACATGAAACCGAATTTGTAAGGTTGCTATTGCTACGCAACCCAAAAACGGATGACTCAAAACTTATATCATCATGCTAGCTATAGTGGCGCACAACATCATCCTGTCTGTGTAAGGCCACAATATTGTTGTAACACTCTACAAGGACTGGTGGATGCTGGTTTGTGAAGTGGTGGGGAAACTTGGGTGTTCGTCGTGATTCACGCCTCTCGCTAAGCCTAGGGTTTTCCATTAGGTCACGGAATCGGCCCAGAAAATACCCGATTGCGGACGGAATCGCCGAAATATTGCCCGTTAACATACGGATTCGTCAAAGAACTACTCTTGGTTTGATCCTTGAAGGCAAATGGCCTTGGACACGATCAGGAAAGCCATCGAAATCCCAGGGACTGTTTCTTGCGCATACTACGCAAACAGCAGTTGGAAGAGTAGAAAGCCTCCCGGCAACTAACCTCGCGCTTTGCTTAGTGGAGGAAGTTGGGAAAGGTAGAGGGGAGAGGGAAGGGGTGATAGACCACTACGAGCAGATCTCCTACTGCACTGGCACTTCGTACGGAATCAAAGAAAAGGAAGCCGCAATGTCAAGGAATCACACGAGAAGTAATCCGTTAGGCATACGGAACCAAACGACTTTTACTATGCAAAAAAACGGAATCAGGTGGGAAACAACTGCAAATTTCTTGAAATCAAGGGTGATTACCCTGTTTGCCAGAGCCCTGGTCGTGAATCTGGTGGTGTGAATGGGGGCCGTGGGGGGAATGAAATGAGGTGAGGAACTCTCTCTGGCTGGCCCAACCAGCCAAGTGCTGGCGTGTGCCTGCCTGCCACATAATTTCCCACCATCTTGATCTGCCCCTGAACCGTCAGACTTGACTTGGCTGTTACACCTGGCGTCTTATGAACCCATTGGAGGTCTATGTGGCCAATTGCTGACGCCCATACCCAACGTGAGTGACTGAGCAGCTGCGCATCAACCGGGAATTCGGGTCGCGGGCTAAAGCATTCACCCATTCATGATCGTCCCTCTCTCACCTGTTGGTCCCTACCCAAGCACTTCGCCTGAACTGAAGCTCTTCCACCGCGGACCGACGAAGCTACTGCGCTGGCCCTCTCCCGCACACCACATACAGTATCGTGATTCGTGAATCGTGATTCGTTCGTCCGTCCCCTCATGTGTCCGCCCTCCCCACCGCGCCCCACTTTCCGTCAACACCTTTCCCCTTTGTCCGCGCCGACCACCGTTGTCCGCCCCTTCCTTTTCTCCACATCTCCACCACAAATCGCCACGTGGGACTCACCGCCCACTCTGGGGGTCCGCGGCTTGCGCCTCCCGCTTCACTCTTGCGCAGCCTTTGTTCCACCCTTCCCGTGTTGAGCTGGAACAAAGATTTATTGCCCTGCTGGGCGCTGTGATCCGCCCACCAGTTCTGGACTCTCACTCGCGACCACGATCAACAGAGTGACGGTCCCTTGCTCCCAACTCCCTCTCTTCTCTCTACTCTCACCAACTCGCCATGGCTCGCACCCTGCCTCTTACCAGCCGTCTGATCGCCACCCCTGGCGTCCTCTCTTTGGGAGACATTCAATTTGTCCCCCAAACTCGCGCGATTTCCGTTACGCAAAGAGTTTTCCGGACTTCCGCCTCACTAGACTCGCGAGCCCCCCAGACGCCGCCGGCTCGAGCTTCAAACGCGGAGCCGTCAACTCGCGCGAATGCTGCTGCCACAGCCCACCCCGTCGCGCCGTTCAACGACGCGACTAACGTGCCGCGCATCTGCACGCTGATCGATTTCACGGATCGACCTCTGCCGTACGATTTCCGGCCGTCCGCTTCGCCGCTCCCCACCGGTTTTGGGAACGGGCGCGCGCTACCGAATACGCCGCCGTCGCAGCAGCCCCGCGCGCACGTGCCCGCGGGACAGGTGGACGTGCTGGGATCCGCGGGGAATTTCCTCGTGGCGTCGGCATCCGCGGTGGCCGCTTTCTTCGGCGACATTGAGACTTTGACCGGCCGCCTAGCCATGGTGAGCTTGCCTGGAACTCGCCTAGGATTGCCGCCTCTCTTCGTCTTCGGCATCGCGTCACGGCCCTTTTAACAGTTTATTCTACATTGCCCCTTGTCGGGACCTTTGTTTTAGGTGTTTTTAGTTTTCAAATGATTCCGTATCGCTGATCCTCGCATTCGATCTTTCTCCTTCCGTCTGCAGATGTCGTGTGCAGCTGCGCTCGCCGCGCAGGTTCTCACCGGCGGACAGGCAATCCTCATCGACTAATTCGCGACCACGCGTACCGAGCCGCGCTAACTCACACCGTCTTTTTAATCGGGTTGAGTTCTTACTCGCATCGCCTCGCGTTTCACCTCGCCACGTGGCCTTTCCGCCGGAGTGTCCATCAATTGCCTGCGATTTTACAACGCTCGAGAAGGGAACGGTCATCGCGAAGAAATGAGTCATCGCTGCTGCAGCAACTGCAAGGAACGTGGTGCTTCTGTAAACGTGGAGCGTCTATTATCGCGGTGCTTCTACTAACGCGGTGCTTTCATCAAAGTGTTGGTACCACTAACATGAACATCACTCCCTGCGCTCTCCGCTCTCTCGCCTCTCCAATCCATTCGCTCTTCCGTGTATTGCGGTATGTTCTTTCGCCACAAGCATTCGCCCTAACACCATATTAGAGTCAGATACCGCAATCCCCCTACCACCCGATGCCGTCGCCTGCCCCGAGCATTCTCTAGGGGAGGGGCTGCTGCTTCCATCTAGGTAGCTGCCCTTGGATCTGAGATTAGTGCGTAAGGCGAGGCTTCGATAACGACACCAACCGCTTGTTCGCTATACCAAGTTCACCCCAGTGCTGGTTTGTGAGTTTTATTGCAACCAGGCCTTATACATATTGGGAGTATCAAACACTGATGTGGTGTGTGTTAGAGTAGGGGGGAAAGTTGTGACTTAGGGGGAAATGTCGAGGATTGCAAAAATAGGGCTGGACACCAAGAACTAAACTAGCAAGGCCATAAACAAATATGACACATCTAAGCTACATAAATATTGTTGACGTAATAATTTGACAGGTGTTGAAGGAGACCAGGTGTAGAATCTGCTAACAAAAACACTTGGAAACCCTCAAGTGTTAGCCTAGGATCTTTACTGGAATGGTAGACAAGTAAGCCAGTGGAAGTTTCTTAACGTAAGATTGAAAAGATTGCAAGGGGATAACCTAAGTATTGTACCCTCTAAGATGCGAACCTATACAGTCTATACAAACATAAACTATATATATGTTTGTGTCAAACATGTATTATTGATCATGTTTGTATAGACTGTATAGGGTAACCTCCTAGAGGGTACAACATTTAGGTATATGTGCATGTACTCTCTAACTCTATCATTATTAAAATTCTAGTTTTGAGATGGTATCACGCGTAGGTTTCGACCCCCCACCCACCTACCGCTTCCGCTCCTCCCGTCGCGTCTCCTAGCCTAGCCTCGCCCCTCCTGAGCCCAGTCGCGACTCCCCCCCTAGCCCAGTTGCGCTCCTCTAAGGCCTCGTCGCGCCCTTTCCAGAGCGTCGTAGCGCCCCTCCAGGCCCCGTCGCGCCCCTCCCTTCTAGGGCTTCGTAGCGCCCCTCCAGGCCCCCGTCGCGCCCCTCCTGGGCTCTATAGCGCCCCTCCTGGGCCCCGTCGCGCCCCTCCTGGCCCCCCCCCTTAGCGCCCCTCCTGGGCCCTGTCGTGCTCCTCTCAGGCCCCGTCGCGCTCCTTCCAAGCCCCGTCGCGCTCCTCCCAGGCCCCGTCGCGCCCCTTCCAGGGCTTCGTAGCGCCCCTCCAGGCCCCGTCGCGCCCCTTCCAGGGCTTCGTAGCGCCCCTCCAGGCCCCGTCGCGCCCCTTCCAGGGCTTCGTAGCGCCCCTCCAGGCCCCGTCGCGCCCCTTCCAGGGCTTCGTAGCGCCCCTCCAGGCCCCGTCGCGCCCCCCTCCAGGGCTTCGTAGCGCCCCTCCAGGCCCCGTCGCGCCCCTTCCAGGGCTTCGTAGCGCCCCTCCAGGCCCCGTCGCGCCCCTTCCAGGGCTTCGTAGCGCCCCTCCAGGCCCCGTCGCGCCCCTTCCAGGGCTTCGTAGCGCCCCTCCTGGGCTTGGTAGCGCCCCTCCCAGGCCCCCGTCGCGCCCCTCCCTGGGCCCCGTCGCGCCCCTCCTGGGCCCCGTCACACCTGCTCGGCCCCGTCGCCCCAGCTCGGCCCCGTCCCAGCCGCTCGGCCCCGTGGCGCCCGCCCGGCCCCTGTTGCACCCGACCGGCCCCGTCACGCCCGCCCGGACCCGTCGCCCTCGCCCGGCCCTGCTGTGTCCTGCCCGGCCCCGTCGCAGCCGCCCGGCCTCGTCACTGCCGCCTGGCCCCGTCGCAGCCACCCGGCCCCGTCGCAGCCGCCCGGCCCCGTCGCAGCCGCCCGGCCCCTCGTCGCGCCTGCCCGGCCCCGTCGCGCCTGCCCGGTCCCGTCGCGCCTGCCCGGCCCTGTCGAGCCTGCCCCGGCCCTACATACTTCCTGGTACTATCCCTCGTTCCCCGCACCGCTTTGCACCCTCCTGCACTTCCCTGCCCCGCACTGCACCGCACTGCACCGCACTGGACCGCACTGCACCGCACTGCATCGCACTGCACCGCACTGCACCGCCCTGCACTGCACTGCGCAGCACTACACCGCACTCCACCGTCCTACCCTGCCCCTAATGGCTGCTGAGCTTCGTTTTGATGCTGAGGGTCAGCCTCTGGAGTTCGAGGCGTGGTTGGCTGACCTTCGCCGCCACCTCACTGGTCAGCGGCAGGACGGCCACCCGCTCTCTGACCACCTAGACGGTATGCTCCCCTGCCCTGACCCCCCTGCTGTGCTGCCCGCTGATCCCACGCCCGCTGAGCGCGAGTCCACTGCCGCCGCTGCCCTTGCCCGCTCTGTCTCGCTTTCCCGTGATGCCCTTGCTCAGCTCGCCATTAGCAATGCCCTCCCCCCCCCTGAGCGCCCTCGCTTTCGAACCATTACTACTGCCCAGGCCTACCTCGATGCTGTCATCAAGCGCTATTCTACCCCTCCTGCTGCCTCAGTGGGTCGCCTGATCCCCCCCCTGCTCTTTCCTGACCTTGCGTCTTTCCCCACTGTCTCTGACCTTGCTGCCCACCTGCGCTCGATAGATGAGACCTGGCGCGCTGCCTGCACTGATGCACAGCTTAGAGTCCATCAGCCTCCCATTACCTCTACCCTCTACCTCCTTGCCACCCGCCTCCCTGACCGCCTTGCCGCCGCCCGCGACCAGTTCCTTAGCATCCACCCCGCTGCGCTCACCCTCACCGACTTTGTTGACACCCTGACTGTTATAGAGACTCGTCACCGCTCCATCGCCCAGGCGAGCGGTACAGTACCGGTCCCTATCTTTCAGGGTTGTGCCCCCGCTCAGTGTACCTTCTCCGACGGCTCTGACGCTGTGGCTGAGACTGCTGCTGCAGTGCAGTCCCGCTCGGGGAAGGGCCGCCGCCCCAAGGTTGGGAGCGGCGGAGGCGGCGGGGGTGCGGGTGGGGGTGGTGGTGGAGTCGGGTCGTCCGGTGCCGGTGCGGACGTGGGGACCCTGCCCAGTCCAGCTGCCCCGCTGCCTCCACAGTCGCAGCAGCAGCAGCAGCAGCAGTCGCCGCAGCCGCAGCCTCCGCAGCAGCCGCAGCAGCCGCCGCAGACGAGGCAGGCGAGTGCTCTCCCGCCTGGGTGGCCTGGAGCTGGTGGTGGTCGTGCGCGTGGTGGTGCGCCGGGTGGTGGTTCTGGAGGCGGGCGCTGTCAGTACCAGATCCAGACCGGTCCTCGCCGCGGCTTCGTTTGCGGTAAGATCGGCCATTCCACTCCTCGCTGTTTCCGTCGTCTGGACGACCTGTTCCGTCAGCGCTTTGGCTCGGCGCCCGACCTCCCGGACTGGCACAGCTTGCTTAGGCGTAGCATTCAGATTTTTGACTTGGACATGGATGCCATTGTAGCCGCCTTGCATGTGATGTATGCTGATGACTCTAGTGTGCTTCCCTCTTATTACCCTGTGTTGCCTAGTGTAGATGTGCCTAGCGTAGACTCCCCTGCTGCGTCAGGCGTAGGATCTCCTGCTTTGCTTAGCCTCGGTGCTTCCACCGCTTCACTGCCGCCTCGCGCGACTGCTGCGATTTCCTTCACCTTGGACTCTGGCGCCTCCCGGTGTTTCTTCCGCGACTCCACGACGCTGACGCCGCTGCCTGTTCCCGCTGCAGTTACTCTTGCTGACCCCTCCGGTGGTCCCGTCGTTGCCCGCAGTTCCACCTCCCTTCCCTGTCCGGCGGTTCCTTCAGGTTCGCTCACAGGTCTGCATATCCCCTCGTTCTCCAGGAACCTAGTTGGTGTCGGCTGCCTCCAAGACCTTGGCGTCACCACTACGTTCCCTGGTCACGAGCGGTATGCTGTCTGTACCGAGGCCGCCACTGGTGCCCCCCTTACCACTTTCCCCCGGGACCCGGTGTCCGGCCTGTTCACACTTGACACCGCGACTTCCCCGGCTGGGTCTTCCCCCCAGGTCGCTGCGTCCACCCAGGTTGCTGCTGCGTGCTCCTGTCGGTCCCTCACTCACCCGACTCTCCTTTGGCACCACCGCCTTGGTCACCCTGCACTCCCGCGTCTGCGTCACATGTCCCAGCACGGTCTCGTCCTTGGTCTCCCCGGTTCGTTCCCCGAGTTTCCCTCCTCCCCCGCCCCCCCGTGCACGCCTTGTGTCGAGGGCCGGCTCCGCCGTGCCCCTCACTCCTCCTCGTTTCCCCCTACCACCGCACCGCTGCAGACTCTGCACATGGACGTCTGGGGCCCAGCCCCGGTCCATGGGCCGCGTCGCGAGCGCTTCTTCCTAGTGCTTGTCGACGACTTCACGCGCTACACCACCGTCTTTCCCCTGGAGCGGAAGGCCGACGTGCCTGACGTTCTCATCCCCTGGCTTGTCTCTGCTCGTGTCCACCGCGGTCTCCCTGCCTTGCGCCTCCACTCCGACCGGGGTGGCGAGTTTGCCTCAGGTGTCCTTGGTCGCTTCTGTCGTGCGGAGGGCATCACCCAGACGTTTACCCTGCCGGACTCCCCGCAGCAGAATGGGGTCGCTGAGCGACGCATCGGTTTGGTCATGGAAGTGGCTCGCACCTCCATGATCCACGCCGGTGCACCCCATTTTCTGTGGCCGTTCGCCGTGCGCTACGCCGCTCACCAGCTTAACCTGTGGCCGCACCCCCAGCGGCCGCCGGTTTCGCCGACCCTTCTGTGGACCGGGTCCCCTGGTGACGTGTCTGCGTTCCACGTCTGGGGTTGCCTTGCTCACGTTCGTGCCTCTGGCACGGACAAGCTCACTGCCCGCACCCTTCCCTGCGTCTTCCTCGGTTTCCCCCTTGACGCGTCCGACTGGCACTTCTACCACCCGCCGTCTCACCGCTTCTTTCACTCTCGCGACGTCACCTTTGACGAGTCCGTCTCCTTCTACCGCCGCTTCCCCCACCGTGGTCCCCCGGTTACTCCCCCCCTGTTCCTGGTCCCTCCTTCCCCGGTGGTCCCTGCCCCCCCCCCCTCCCGCCCCCTCGTCCGGCCCCCTCTGGTGTGTCTCACGTCACCCCCCTCCCGTCGGTCGTCCCGGTCGACGAGTCTTCTGACTCTGGTAGTCCTCCGGCGCAGTCCTCGCCGTCTGTCCCTCCCCCGGTGTCTCCTCCTCCACCGCCTCCGCAGCCGCCATCACCGCAGCTGCTGCAGCCGTCGTCTCCCCCGCCGCCGCCGTTGCAGCCGTCCTCTCCGCCGCCACCGCCGTCGCGGCCGTCGCTGCAGCCGCCGCCGCCGCCGCCGCCGTCGTCGCTGCCGCTGTTTGTGGACTCTGGGGGTGCTGGCGTTGAGGTGGGTCCTAGTCCCGGGGCTCCTGTCGTGGCTTGTCCCGGCGGGCCAGG